GTTCTGCCAGCGGGCAGCAACACAGAATTTTCTACAGGCGCTCGTCAAATAATCTCTTTCAGCGAGCGCTGGTCAAATTTTCAGCTGGCTTTCGGACCGTTTTTAAGCAGTTTCGGGCGTACGCCGAGCAAAGGTGAGACTCTACATGGCAGGTGTAATCGTTGGTTTAATCACTCAAGTTTGAGGTACTTTCTCTCAGCGGCAAGTACCTGGGGGCTGCGCGGTCCTCCATAAAGGACCGTGCGGCCCCCGAAAATTCTGCATGTTTTCGCGGAAAGTCCGCGAGAATGCGGCCACTGCGCCGCAGCTAATCTGTAAGGAACCGCGATTGTTCTCCAAGCATTCGTCTAAAATTTCGCTAAAATTCTTCCAAATATCTGCAAGCGGACCGCAGGAAATTAACGAACTATTTTTCCGGTGCCCGCTTGCCCAAAAATCGCATGGCCGCCTGCCTCCGGCGATTATCTGAGTAGGCATGTTCGCTAATCCAAAGAGTGCGAGAACGACGAAGACAGACTTTCGTCAAAGCGTCATGTTTTCAATTTAGACGAGCGAAAATATTGCTGCCTCGACTGAGAAGCCATCTATGAGAGTCTACGAAATCATCTGCCGCAACATGATTGTTCTACCACAGAGCAGAAAACCCACACGCGGGGGTGCATAGGGTGTAACTCTCCCAGCTTCCGGAGCGAATTTTTCGTTCGTTCGACTTTGTAACTTCGCTCTTGTGCGGTGGCATGTTCGAGAGCGTCCGCTTTTACATAGCACTGAAAACAAACTACCCTCAAACGTGCCCGGACACTGTTTTCAAGTACAACAAAACCTACCACTAGGAGTCTGTGCTCAATCAAGATACTTTTCCCAGTGCCACCCTTCTAATATTTTTTAGGCTCAGGCTTATATAACAGGGTAATACCAGAAGACTTTGTTGTATTTCTTTGCGTATGACACCCTATACACTGAATTGTATTAGGTTGTCAAGAAAATAATGTCCGTTTTTATTTGCTTGCTTCAACAAAGCAACCAGACTCAACCCAACAAAGGGTAAGGGGTACTGTTCGATAGAGCGAAGCAGCTCTACAAGATGGCACTCATGCCTTTGCGCCAAGCTCGATCCACGGAGAATTCGAACTCAAAATCTAAAGATTTCCAAATGCCCAAAAAATCGAAAAAAAACAGATCTTCGTCCAGATAATTTCTACGGACCTCCCACTCGCTCACATCAATACTATCGATATCTGATATCCATATGTGCGATTGCCGTATTTTTTCCTTGACTAGAAACTGAGAAAACGAAAATTTCCCTGATTTTCTCAAAGCAATGCTGAGCCGTTTTTGCATATGTAGTTCTATACTACAAGCCTAGGTAAGCATAACTGTAGGTTTTCAGCCTATTTCGAGCGGTACTTTTCGAGAAATGTCGATTTTAGCATTGAAACTGAAACGAAAAAATCCGAATTCGTTATTTTTCGAAAACTACCGCTTGGAATGGGCTGAAAATCTACAGTTATACTTACTTAGGCTTGTAGTATAGAACTACACTTGCAGAAACGGCTCAGCATTGCTTTGAGGAAATCAGGGAAATTTTCGTTTTCTCAGTTTCTAGTCAAGGAAAAAATACGGCAATCGCACATATGGATATCAGATATCGATAGTATTGATGTGAGCGAGTGGGAGGTCCGTAGAAATTATCTGGACGAAGATCTGATTTTTTTTCGATTTTTTAGGCATTTGGAAATCTTTAGATTTTGAGTTCGAACTCTCCGTGGATCGAGCATGACGCAAAGACATGAGTGTCATCTTGTAGAGCTTACTTTGCTCTATCGAACAGTACCCTTACCCTTTGTTGGGTTGAGTCTGGAGCAGTGGTATCAACGCAGAGTACTAAACGGACATTATTTTCTTGACAACCTAATATAATAGAGTGTTATACGCATCAGGTGGTCACAAAGTAGACACCCATTTACTATGACCCTTTTGGTGTGCAGATATTCATACAAAGTCTTTATTACCTTAAACGTGGCAACATTGAGTTGGAATGTAGACCAGGGCTCCGCACGAGCTGGCACCAGGGAAATTTTAAACGAAGCCCGTTTGATATTGAAAATTTCGTACGAAGTCCCTTTTGACCTGTTTTGAAAACCCGTCATCATTTTTATATTATGTAAAAAATGTAGTGTTTTCATGCATTTCTGATTTCATGAAAGAACTTTTTACAGCTTTCTGAGCTTTTTAAGTGGTCGAATCACATCTTGAGAAGCAGAAAAAGCCGATTTTTCGACTGCGGAGCGGACCGAGTGCTTTTCAAATTCCTATAAAACGCTGAAAAGAAAACATTATGAAACTTTTCTTCTCCATATGTATTCTTTTACGGTGTAGATACATTTTATGTAAAAAAGTATGAAAACTTACCGAGCACCGAGCTGGCACGGTGCCAGCTAATTCAGAAAAAAGTTCGGCACAGCTTTCATTCACATAAGTTTTCAAAAATCTCTGGCCCCTAATTCCGGTCCACCAACGCGCATGCACACACCAAATTTGGTGTCATACTATTGCGTTTTGGCTGAAAACAACGCCTTTGTTTGTTAATGGACAGCTTGCCAATGGCATGCCGGTGGCATGCTGGCGGCATTTTTGCGGCAATTCTCCGCCTCGGCTCCTGTAGAAACGATATTCCCTTTGCTTTTCCGCCCTAAAAACGATATCCAGCTTGACCCGGTGCCAGCTGTGCTGAGCCCTGATGTAGACGCTAAGATGCAAACTTTCACAAATCTAATAATACATTTGGCTACTCAACTTTCGAAGTTTTTGCTCTCTAAAAGTTACAAATCTACTTCTGAGTCAAACGGTAATACCAAAAGACTTTGTTGTAGTCCTTTGTTTCTTTGTTGCGCTGTAGTGATGTATACAGTGAAATACCTCACAAGGGAACCAAGTTTGGTGCACTTCTTAGATGCAGTGTACACCATCTTGAAGAGCTTAAAACACTGATTTCAAATCTGCCCTCCTTATCTGCGAATGCAAACGTTTTGAATCAAGAGTTATGAGCGCTTGATGTCGTCGTAAGTTTTTTACCAGCGCTTCAGTGAAGCCGTGAAAATTACCAGAACACTTTGTTCAATACTACTTACGGATATAAGAGCTTGTCGCAAGTAATTGCTTTTTTTGAGGATTAGCAAGAGCAACTTACTTTCAATCACATGCACATATAATTTTCTTCTCCAGTAAACGCTCATGACTCGTGCTCTTCAGTGTGTCATACATCGCAACTGAAAAGACCACTTCGACCAGACATGGTCTCTTGTCAGTAGTTTATTCGCTAATCGCAATAATGAATGATTTATCGAACAACTACGGCAACTATATATACACAACTGCAAGAACGTACTACTTGGTACCAAGCACCAGGAGAGCTCTATGAGAGCAGACGCGCACCTTATGGGAAAGTGTTTGAAACCCAACAGAGCGCTAGGGATCGACTAACAATAAAAGGCAATGATGGGACGATAGAATTGAGTGCAGTACATAAATACATTCACAAAATTCGTCAAAGAAGCGTAGTTTGCAGTACACGTGTATAGGCTGCTGCATGACAAAGGCGCAATATCGTCGGGCGCGAAAGCGGCTTTATTGGCCGCAGAGCGCATAAGGCGCAAGATTTCTAACGATGAGGGTGCGCGCGCGTCACCCTCGCGCCCGCTCAACTAATAGCGCTTCTGCGCCTTCGTCATGCAGTATCCTTTAGTGCTTTGATACTGAGAATGGAATTGAAGCAGAAATTAGCTCGAAATACTGGACGCTTGCACACTGCAGAGATTTTAACCGGAAGTTTCCCTGCTATGTCCAAATTATTGTGTCTGTAGATTGCCTGTTAAATTGCTCAAATTTCAGAATAATTTTTGTAAAATGCTAGAACGCTTTCATCTTGGGATTAATGAGAAATTTACCAAAAAATTCTGAGAATAATTTTTATAGCTTTGTTTTGAGGGTCAGTAGTTTTTCCGCACTCTGTATGTAATTCTTGCTTTTTGAGTGTTGTATATGGTTTTGTAGCAGATTAGGAAGATATTTCGACACAAAATCCGAGTCAATCAGCGAATTTGAAATTTAGTATAAGTACTTGTACAGACATTCGATCAACTCAAAATCTCCTTGGGAAATGGAGCCACGGCAGATCCAATATTGAAGTCAGTTTATTGAACGAATCCGGTGAATGCAAATTTTTTGTGGTGATCGAGTTTTCTATGAATAGGCCATAAAAGCAAGACCGAAAACAAAACCAAATATATTGCCGCGGATTGGCGCTTTCAGCGACCGAATTCCAAAAACCAGAATTTTTATTGCCTCTATCGGCGTTCATCACCGCTATAAACCGTGATTTCGCTTTTAGCACCAATAGAAAGCGCATAATCCTTCTTTTCGAAACGTTTCAAAGTTCCGAGATAAAACGAAATAAAACTTTTATGCCTTGCAAGATTTAGGTGTCAAAGCTGTTCATCAAATAATACATAGGTTGAAGTAAACATTACAGCGATAGCTATCTTCAAGTAACTCGCGCTCCAGCACATACAGATCTTTATCAATCTATGCGATTCATATCACGTTTTTTCCAAAAAAATTTCTAAAAATAAAAAGTTTTAACGCCTTAGGAATAAAGGAAAACCAAGTACCTGCTTTATTGGTCAAATGTGGTCCCGTACCAATTTCATGGGAGCACCGATGAAAAAATTGCAAAACGTGTTATAATCACCCCCTTCTCCCGAAACTACTCATACACTTTGGTCAGCGCATCCCTCTCCCCTCCCCCTATCTTAGAAAAAAAGACCAAGTTTTGAGTAATCTTTCGGCCCTGATACCCTTCTCAGTGGTAGTTGGACTGCAACTTGTGTCGTAAAAAATGGCATGTATGCCGTGCCAACAAGATTCGCTGTAATTAACGCTATATGCAAAATACATTGATTGTTTGTTTGAATGGTATAAAATGAGCCAACGCTAATGTCATCTCATGAAAAATGAACCGCATTGTAATCATTTTTCCCTTTTTGTTCTTCGCTATTGTTTCGGCCAAAGTGAGATCATGGGACGACACGGCTTTTTCGGAATGCATGTCGTCTTGCAAAACAACAATGGCAAAGGTGAACTCCATTTTATTTTGCTTTCTAACTTTTGTTGAAATCTAAAGATGCATCAAGCTTGCAAAGAGAAGAGCAAATTATGGAGTTAAGCAACAAATCTATTTCCAATACTCTGCAGATGAACATCGGTAACTGTAGCCTTATCTCTCGCTATATGAAATTAGATAAAGTACAGTAGCGCTCATTAGTCTTCAAAAACATTACCAATTTTTCATTGTAAGCGTCGAATTGCCAAATCTTAGTTTCGATTGAAGAAAATCTAAGGGCATCATTCGAAAGTCGAATGCACAAAATCGCCCATATCACAGGTTAAACGTCCGCGAGCGTGTCACGTGCGAACAGCACCGATAGCTTGACTCATGGAGTACAACTGCAAAACGTAACCAGTTGGCCACTGATTTCGCGCTTCATACGCTACCGGCGTTTAGTCTAAATTATGGCGAATCAGTGGCAGTCGAGCTCGTCCAGAAATCTAAAATCAGCGCTAAACCAAGAGTCCAGAAACCTAAAATTGGCGCTGCACCAAAATACGATTGGACGACACTGCTGCGACGCAGATTTCGGTGAACTCTGGAGAATAATGCTTTCTAACGAAGAAAAGGAGTCAAAAGCACCATAGCCTTTTCTTATGCCATGTGTACCCGAGTCTGCGTTGCTAACTGCAAAGATATTTTCTAAGAGAAAGTGTACCAAACATCGAAACCATCGCTTCTGGCCAGTTGACAGTCTTACTCACGAGGCAACATCATTGTTGATCCGCCGATATATTTGCGCAACTCTGCCACCGGAAAAAAACGTACAAATCTGCTAGAAAACGCTTTGCAGATAGCGAGCGCAGATTTGTGGCCAACTTTTCAAGACATATCCTTATGAAAAAAGCAGAGTGACCTTGGTTTGTTTTCTTGTGAAAATGACATGAAGCTGAAACTGTGGAAGAAAAAAGCAAAGTAGCTTTCATCCTCTAAAAATGTCGTTCTTTCTGAAAGATCAAATTGTTGTAATTTGCACAATTTACAGGTCCCAACAATGTTCGTCCAAAAATCTGCTAAGGCCGAGCTCTACGACGCGGAGAGGGAGTTCAGGTGTTACAAGAAGTGCAAAAAGGATGCATCACCGGCAGAGAACAAACGCATAAAACCAAAGATTGAATCGTTGGCGAAAGACTTGAAATCGCTCTATAAGCAAGTGATGCGTTCAAAAAAAGTGTAAGAAAATCAACTTGTGCAGATCGAAATAAAGACTTTACATGGTTAGAATGTGTGTAAAAGTTTTGGTTCTACTAGCCAACAGTGTGACCTTAGTTTTTAAACGCATACAAAGTATTATGTAGAAGCGTTATTCATGAGTTCGCTCCCAGACTACAAATTTGCAATAGAAAACTCAAGCTTTCCAAGCTAATCTAGTTTTACATATAATCTTTGTCGGAGCTCAAATCCTCTTGGTGCCCCATTCCAGTAAATGCTTGCTTGCTTTCTACAGCATCCTTAATCTTTGTCAAGGTACCTCTCCTTCCCTTTCCACCTTGACTTTATGGTGCACAAACATGATAATGGTGGTTCAAATGGTTGCTACAGTCTGCCCCAATCCTAACCAGGCCAAAATTGGCATGGCGGGAGTCCGCGTCGCTAGGGTTTCGCGGTCACGCCCACGTCCTGCTTCTCTGTTCTCTCTTCAATCCTTTGGCTCTTTCCGTCAGCGCGCATATGCAGCGCAGACTGCTAGCGCTGCGAGCGCGAAAATTTACGTCGACGCTTCGGCCTGATCCCAATTGGAGCAGACTTTACAACGTGTTACTAAGCTGTAAAGAATGTTATAACAGTGCTACAACCATGGGTGCGATAGGGGAAACCGGGGCCTTCTTCAGGTGAATGGGGTCTCTGCTACTCCCATTTTGTAAGGTGAAGGGGGTAAGTGAGTCCTGAAAGCAAAATGCCCCAACAAGTTACAAACTATTCGAAAACAAAGCTGAGGTCATGTAGAATCGACGTAGACCATCGATTTTTTTCTGGGTTTTTCTGTGGCGCGAGATATGAGGCATTTTATGTACTTCATATATCAACTGATTTTGTGTCCACACTTTCTGCTCGGTAGAGGGAGGCTAGAGAGAAGCCGACGGTCTAAATCGTATCCCCTTTTCCTGAGCTTTCGTTGTAAAACGGTTGTGCCGCATTGGGTGAAGTAAAAGAGCCGATATCACATTTGTGCGCATGTTTTGTATAGCATATAGTAGTGTTTGTAAATGGTATGGTTTCTCTTCACACTTGCGGAAGAGCTTTGATTTTTTGTTAGCATAGAAGCGATGGTTTGTAAGACAGGTTTTTACGAATTGCAAAGCCAAAGAGCATTTTTATATCGCTGCGTATTGAGTCCTTTGCTTTGAATTTTCGGTCGTGAAAGAATTGGGGCTCTGAAAGGACAAAATTTATATTTTTTGCACTACCATGTTTGGAAGGCAATACGGCAGAAACTTCAAAGATAGTTGTAATAACTGAAGGCAACCAGTGTTATAACATGGCGAGTGGTAGCGTTACCAATACACATTCCAACTTCTCGGCAAATAGATATGTATATTTGAATATTATTTTTGTTGAGTTGATTGTGAAATCATGTCCAAGTTGAACCATATATATACGCTCCCGAAAAAAATTTTTATAGGGTTAAATTGAATTCTTAAAAACTTCAAAAATTATTCTAATTATTTACAATTATAAACAAGTCATTTGCAATTTTTTTAGCCCATGTAAGTAACTTTCAAAATTAGCGATCCATTCTCGGGGGGGGGGGGGGCTCTTTTTCCCCTCCCCCCTCCCCCTCGGTACGCCACTGGGTGTACGTATGTTCCAGACAATAATTTTGAATTCTAAACCAAGCCGGATCAAACTTTGCACATATACACTTATTGTTAGGGTGTGAGGATAGTTGTAAGCTACTTTTCGTTATCGATCGATATCAATTTTATCTATATTTTGCAAGGATTGAGCTACGGGGCTGCGAGTTGGCACTTGGGGTAAGAGAGCAAGATGATTACAAATATATTATTAACAGGGCCGGGCGGAGCCGGGTTCGCCAGCTAGTGTAAAATAAATTCGTTGGGTAATTCGTAGCATAAATCAAGAGAGGCTGCACGCTTTTTTAGGAAAAAGGCTGCTAGCTTTTTCAAATTGCTCCCAGTTTGAAAGCTTTGCTTTTGATTAGATAAGCGCAAACAAGCTTTTCGTAAACTGCTGTCAGGTTGAATTTTTCAGAGAAATCTACTCCTTGGTTGTCTCATCAAGCCCTTTTTGGGAAACAGTGCAAGCTGAGTTTAAATCGACTTGGTAATCGCAAGTCTCATTTGTCTGAGCACAGATAAGAAGTTAGAACTCGATTTCCAGGGAAAATTTGAGAAGGATTTTCAAAAAATGTGCAAGACGTTGAGTACAAGTTATAATTCGATTATAGGGAAAAGCTGAGAAAGATTTTTTGAAAAATCTTTAAGACGTTGAGTACGTAGCCAATAAAAACTTCAATATGCATTCAATGAAGCGGTGGTGTAAGGCATTGAAAAATTGTAAAAGAGTCTATGATATTGTAAATGATTTTGTGCCAAACAGGTTTTTATGGTGGATGTTTATTGTCTAACGTTACGACAGGTATCGTCTTCGTCTTCGACTCTATGATAATCACTTGATAACACAAGAGAATTTGATCATGTTAATTTATAATGATACTTGTAGAGTATTTTCTCTGTTAATTTTTTGAGTTATTTCTCGGAAATGTTTGTAAATTTTGACAACGATTTTGTCAGCACTTCTAGAAATAATATAATTTTGATTTTTTTTGCAATTTTAATTTTATGAAATTTTTCATAGCGTAAATTCAGGCAGATAAGCTATTAGTGCTTTAATTTTGACTCGTAACTATTCTTTCATATAGCTATATAGTCGCTCAAACACCGCTAAGGTTTTAAGCTATACTATTCCTTGTTTGAAATGTCCCTTGATACAGCAGGCAAATTAGTTTGGTAGCATTATTTTTGAATCGTCATAAAATGACATTTTGAATCTGAAATATTCCAAACATCGATATTGTTTTTTTCTACAGAATGAATTCAAATGAAAAAAAAACTTTTGGTGCTCAAACTTCAAATTGTGAATTCTTTCTAGATCATTGCATGTTTGCAAGAACACAGATTTATGCATCCTGCAGATCTTGATGAACTTTCACTCCAATATCACAAGGATCGCCTTTGTTGGTAGTCCATAGAGATTAGCTCATACGGGGACGAGGATTAGAAAGACATTGCGATCGCCTGCGTAAACCAAGGACTGTTGGTGTCATAATAGTGGGTACATAATACTAATGCAGTTTCTCGAGGTTTATCTCATTCCATAGTATGAATGGAAGGATGATAATGGCACGGGATCAGTTATACCTTTTTTCGAACAGAGAAAAGAAGCTGAAAACAAAGGCATAACAACTTTTTCATGATTCTTGCATGGCCCTAATTTACGTGTAGGTTTCATTAGAAGAATATGACATATTTTTCGATCACATGTAACTTGAAGATTTTATAATTTAATACGCGAGTCCGCACGCTATGCGCGGCGATTGATGACATCCTTACTAGTAAACCATAGTAGAATCTTTCCTAATGGAATTAGTAGAAGTGTGTACTACTACTTATTACATTTCTAATCAAGTCAAAAGGGGCAAAATAGGTAATAAGAAAAAATCCGTGGAAAAAAAGGAGGTTTTAACTTCAAGCAGCGCACATTGTGTATGGTACACATAATAAATTATAAATGACGCACGATACTTTATTGCATTATTTTGAATCCAACGAATTCTAGATTGAGTTCGAATTAGTTAGTTTTAACGATTTTCTCTACAATGGAGAGTATAAAAAAACTAAGATAACTGATAGGTTTATGAATATTCCTAATAAATATTAGGTTGTCCCATAAGTCTTTTCATATTCAGACCTTCAATTTGATATTTCTCAAGAACTAGGGTACCTAGTAAGCCGTAAATTTTTGACAGTAACTCTGAGTGAATAAGCTATGTAATCGCCTATTTTCGGGGAACACAGAACTGATACAGGCAAAGTTTGAAAATTGAGCGTATTATTTTTTTCTTGGTTTCTAGCCATCAGAAAAATGCAGCAAATGCATACATAAATATCCGATGAGAAGAGTATACGCATGAAAAAGTTGGAAATCCGCAGAGTTGTTTTGAACTGAGATATGACGATTTTTATTTTTTCGGAAATTCGGACTTTTTTTTGTTTTGGCTGGGAACTTGAACGGATTGAGGTTTGTGCGAACTTTTGAAGGCCATCTTGTAGAGCTTGTTTTGGTCTGTCGAATGGTCCCACGCATTCTATTAGAAGATCAAAAAGAACTGATTTATGTCGCTGGAAATTTAGGTATGAAAAGACTTATGGGACAACCTAATACTTATTGCTCTGAAAGCATTTACTTTGTGGGTGGGAGATAACAAAAAAAAGCACAAAATTCTAAATTTTTGCACTGCTATCGAACACGCAGACTTGCATCTATCTGCCTTCATCGTTATGTTACAGAGCAAAATCCAAGTTTTGGGTCAGGCTTGATTCTTTTCAGTAATCCTTTCCACTGCCAGATTTGAATGTGTTTCATGAGCTGTAACTTCTGAAATGGTAAAAAAATTATGACGCTAATGGCTGCAACGAAACTTACTGAAAATTTGTTTTGGTGAAGATACCAATTTTCTAAATTCCGCATTGAACACAATTATAATCAGCCTAAAAATCATTTTAGGATAAAAATTTGATACTATGCAGAGACTTACCCGTCCGTAGAGTGAACTAATGTCCAAGCTACCGTAGTTGCAACCCAGACAGCCCAAACGTTTTCAACTTGCCATGCTAGATGAAAGTAAGTGTAGAGTTCTACCACAAAAATCATTCCTTGTAGGACAGCCTAAAAAAGTTTACTCTACCAGAAATATCCTTTCTTGCTTGTTTCTACCTGCTTCAAAAAGTTGATCTCTTTCTTGCGGCGACTATCTATTTGTTGACCAGCGTTTCGTAACTAAAGCAATTTATATAAAAATTATATAAAAAATGAAAAAGTAAATTGTTTGTGAGTTATGTATACCTGGATACTGCTCAAGTGTACTTTTGCTACGGTTATGATATCCACAATAGCAATGATTACAACAACAGTTAAATCTTTGTAAAAATCCAAATATGTCGATATGAATTGACAATCCTAGATGGGAAAATCACATTTTGGAGAGTTTTTTATGCGTCACAAAATTCACCTTTGTCTTTGTGAAAACAAAAGCTTTGATGACCTTGTCGTAGATAAAATCGCAGTCCTCTAAAGCAGGTTTCCTTTTTTTCTTAGATTATCAAAAAAATTAAATTCGACATACCGTAACCATATGAAATCGCACAACGTACTATGGAAACAATCCACGAGATAACAATAAAGATTTTTGTATGACGGTGGCTATAACCATTATATGTACTGTTTGAAATCTACCGCATTTCACGAAATATAAAAAAAAGTGGATATTTCCTTGATATTGTGTGCAATTGCACATTTTCCTTAAGGCACCCATAAGGGCCGAGATAGATATCAATTTCTGATATTATTCCTTAAGTTCTTGTAGTTTAGGGCCTTGTGTTTGTTTGTTTTTTATCTGGTAAAATGCGCCTCATGGCCAAAACCCGAAAAATTGTGCAACTGCACACATCTAGCGAGGGACCCTACCGGACTTTACTTAATCAATCATAATCTATGAAATCGTTAATATCAACTCAAACATCATACCTGAAATATTTTTCGTATCTCCAAGGAAGACATATGGCGCACATGCGATTCAGAGCAATGCACAAATGTGAAAATATAGCGATATCGTAACATATCAGCAGAATAAGGCCAAATCTTTGTGAAACCTCCGCCATTGTGTCACTTTTGCTAAAAATAATTTCAAAATATTTAATGTTGTGAATTTGTAGGTGCACTTACAAAAATACCATAGGTGAAAAATAGAAAGCAAAAATAGCACAATGTACTGCTTCTCCAGTGGACTGACTTGTCATGAGTAAACCAAATGAGTTTTGCATAGATGGAAGACGTTGTGTAGAAGTGGCGACGATCAAGTTTCCAATGGTTCCAACAAATGAGATCTAAATTTTTTGGCTAGGTTTGATGTTAGTCTTGGCTACGAATTTTTGCTTGATTCGAAAAAAAAAATTCAGGAAAAAACCTCAAAACTTACACAGAATACTACTATGGCAGCAAATTGATGGCCTTGAAGCGTAAAAATTGCATCCTCCATATTTACTTATTTGAAATCAGGACGTGGTAAGAAATACCGCACTATGTTTGACAAACAAGAAGTGATCTTGTGAACCCGTCTTGGATCTCTTTTATAGCATTCTGAGAAGATTAGTGCGATCAAAAAACAATCAGAGTACTTTGGTAGATCCCATTGATGACGAGCTCTTAACCTTTCAGTACAAATGACTACTTAGGATTGTAACCGCTTACAGCACGACGCTTCCTTGGCGCTCAGCAGAGATCTTGAGAGGCGCAGGAACCTATAGCATTCCGGGAATGGATTCTTGTGCGTGGTATTATGTAAACCGAGCAGACATTCTGCAAAGGCTTACCTGCCTTTTCTAGACCATAGTTGCGATAGCCTAAAGCGGGAACAAGCAGTCATTATGAAATTTAAAGAATCTTTTCCAGACAAAAGATAGCAAGCCTAAACTAATCTTATGAAGGATGCGAAATTATCAGACCACTAGGCACCATCCCTATTCCGTACAAGCTTTCCCTGTGCCCACTTCTCATGACAATTCCTTATCTATGTTTTGTTTTCGTAAGCAGCATGATTTACCCCATGTACCAACTTTCAGCCCCGTAGCTCAAACTTTGCAAAAAAAATCGATGAAAATCGATAAAATCGATATTAATCGGTGACGAAAAGTAGTCTATGATACCGGCCCAGCCGCGAAGTGTAGGTGTGCCAAGTTTGGTCCGAATCGGTTCAGAAAAATTCTGAACCGATCCGGACCAAACTTGGCAATTGAAAATTAAAAAAATTAAAAAGCAAAACTCAAACAAGCATTGACCAAATACAAATTGGCAAAAACCAAACAATTCACGTTTGTGCTTCCACGCTGAGCGGCCGCTCTTGTATTTTCTCTCACAGTTCACTTTCGTTGCTGTTCTGCCATCGTTTTCCCTTTCAGGTGAGACGTTTGATTTCATATTTTGCTTTGTGTTTGCTAGTGGCTACCGATTTTGTTTTCTTTGATATAGTCCTTAAAGTTTTTTGAATTTTTTGGTGATTTTTTGTGCAAATTCAGTGCTACCAATAAGCAAAAAAACCAAATGGCACCAAAAACTCTAAAAAAACTTGCATCTAGGACCGGGTCAGCCACAAAATCTGTTGATGCGAGAAGTCAGACGTGTGATGCTGAGTTTTCAAATCTATCTATTGCGGATTTGATCAGCATCAGGGACAGAAACAATGACCCCGTAATCGACAGATTACTTTGTGCTCTGTGTGAGAAAATACCTTTGGCGGCTCATTGTGATCTAGAAGCCGAGAAACGTAATAGAAGCATCGTAATAAGCGGCATTCCTGAAGCAAATGAACAGCTTCCCTTCCATCAACGTTGCGTCCAACTGGAAAGCACCGTTGGGGAAGTATTGGATGTGTTGAAAGTTGAATGCAGGCCTGTCGACTTGTACCGTTTGGGAAAACCTAATCCGTCTCGCCCCAGGCTGGTTAAAGTTGTGTTTCCCTCTCGATACTATTGGCGGCTTGCATTGTCAAATTCACGATTACTCAGAAGTAATGGCTATTCTAACATTTACGTTAGAAAGAGCATGACGGCAGAGGAAAGGGCCCGCAATTACGAACTCCGGCAACAAGCTCGCGAACGTAACAACATGGCCACCAAGGAGTGGGTGATATATCGCGATGAATTAGTTCACGTTTCTAAGCTTCCTCGCAGAAGCTCGGGAAACGTCTGAACAGGCATGGTAGAACTGATTCATTACAAATAATTCTTTTTAACGCACGGAGTCTAAGAAATAAATTGAACTGCTTGCACGCTTTTGTCCATGAATACAAACCTGATCTACTTTTTATTACTGAAACTTGGCTTAATATAAAAATACTTGATTCTGAGGTTGTGAGTGGTATGCCCTATGTGCTGTACAGAAGTGACAGAAATAACCGAAAAGGTAGTGGTGTGTATTGCCTGGTAAAGGGTAACATAGTATCTATGTAAGTGCACCAATGTTGAAGTATCTTTGCTAGCAGATGTGTTAATTGTCACTATTATCCATCCACAATCTTTACGCTTACGATTTATCGCGATATACCGCCCACCTAGCTCTAGTAAAGATGATGATGATAAACTGATGAATGTGATTAGTTCTTATACATATGCTTCTGATCATGATGACACGATTATTCTAGGTGACTTCAATCTGCAAATCGACTGGGTCACTATGAAAGCTAGTAATAGTGCATCCTTGTCATTTCTTAATTATTTTCAACATAATGATTTCAAACAATTTGTCTCGCATTCTACGCACAGTGACCATGTCCTTGATCTAGTCCTCTCCTCTGACGCACGAATTTCTAATCTTGGTATACTCCCACCTCTTGGCTCCTCTGATCATGGGATGGTTCAGTTTGAGTGTGAAGGGCCTGCGACCATGGGTTTGCCATCTATACCCTTAACTGACTTTCACAGAGTTGACTACTTTGCACTGAATAATTTTCTTTCTAGAGTTGACTGGCTTGCGGAATTTGATCAATATGAGTCATGCTCAGAACTTTACCTTAGATTTTGTAGGATAATTTATTCTGCCCTTAGCATGTTCGTTACAATGAAACATCCTAGCGACACACTCATGAAACTCCCTCCTCACATTGATGCACTTAACATGCAAAAATGCAGGCTTTTCGACAGATTGAATGATCCGCTACACAGTCCTATATATAGAAAAGTGTGTCATGACATTGATTTCCATATGCAAAAGTATTTAGCCAATCGAGAGCGTCGCCTTGCATCTGAAGCACCTGCTCGAAATTTATACAGATATATAAATACCAAAATGAAAGCTAGTGCTACTCTCCCTACTCTTGAAGATCATTCTGGCTTTGGTTACTATGATGATGCGGATAAAGCCAGGGTTCTCGGTGCATATTTTGCCAGCGTATACAACAAAGATGATGACTATGATTTTTCTGCATTCAGTAGCTCTGTAACGCCCGACAACCATTCTATGACAGTGTACTTTGAACCATCCGAGGTCTTCAAGTTTCTCAAGAAGTTAAAACTATCTACCACGGAAACTTATGATGGCATTCCACAAATTATCTATAAAAGATGCGCATCTGCTTTATCTACCCCACTAGCTCACATTTTCAATGTTTCCATGATGTTGGGTGAGGTGCCAGATTCATGGAAGCATGCCCTTGTCACTGCCATTCCAAAGATACAAGGAGCCAAGTTAGTCAGTGATTTTCGACCCATCAGTCTTTTACCAGCATCGGCTAAGCTCAGATAACCGCCGGGGGCAGGCGGCCATGCGAATTTTGAGCAAGCGCGCACCGGAAAAATAGTTCGTTGATTTTTTGCGGCCCGCTTGCAGAAATTTGGAAGAAAGTTGGCGAAATCAAAGACGAATGCTTGAAGGTACTTTCCGCTGAGAGAAAGTACCTCAAACTTGAGTAATTAAACCAACGGTGACACCTCTGCCACACAGAGTCTTACCTGCGCTCGACGTACGCCCGAAAATGCCTTAAAAGAGTCCGAGCGCTTGCTGAAAGTTTGGCCAGCGCTCGCTGAAAGAAATTATTTGCCGAGCGCTTGCAAAAAATGCTGTATTGCTGCCCTCTGGCAGAATATGCGACCGTAAAAGAAGTGCCGCCCGCTGAAGGTTTGGCCACGCCCCAAAATTCTGCTGACCGCCTGCAGAAAAGCGCGAGTTTGCGGACCGCCTGCCCCCGGCGATTATCTGAGAGGTTATGGAAAGAATCATACGAGGTAGGTTGCTGGCAAGGCTGAATAAATTACATCTAATCCCAGCTGAGCAACATGGCTTCATCAATGGTGCTTCTACCACAACAAACCTAGCTGATAGTACCTATGACTGGATTTTAGCCCTAAATTATAAGAAATCCGTGGATGTACTCTATATCGATTTATCTAAAGCGTTTGACAAGGTGTGTCATTCTAAGCTTCTCATAAAGCTGAAGGAAATCGGTATTGTTGGTCCCCTTTTCAAATGGTTTAGCTCCTATCTACACAACCGTTTTATGACAGTCAAAGTTCGCAATACATTTTCGGATGCATATCCTTGTATAAGCGGCGTACCCCAAGGAGCAGTTCTCTCCCCTCTACTTTTTCTGATTTATACGCTTGATCTGCCGACAATACTTCGAACGTCCCCAGACATACGAATACAATTATATGCAGATGACATAAAAATATATGGTGTTTACAGTTGTGATAATCGAATAGAGGTACAATCAGCATTGCAACAATCGGTTACTAACCTGATCACTTGGGCCAATCGTTGGCATCTGTCAGTCAATCTGAGTAAAAGTTTTGTCTTACATATGGGTGTTCAGCATGCAGGCACTTATGTGGTAGATGATACTACTTTGAAGGTGTGTTCCTCAGTTAGGGATTTGGGAGTCATTATTGATTCGAAGCTCAAATTCTCTGAGCAGATTGATGCGGTTATCAGGAGAGCTTATACTTTTTTGTTTGTACTTTTTCGAAGTGTAAGAACTAACTCGCCTGTGCTTCTTACACATCTCTACAAGTCTCTAGTTCTTCCCCACCTAGAATACTGTTCCCAGGTGTGAAACCCGAATCGAAAAAAGGACATTGAAAAACTTGAAAAAGTGCAAAAAACTTTTACGCGTCTGTTGTACAGAAGAGTTTCCCCAGTAATGCCCCTCCTGCTTATGAAGTACGACTAAAAAAGCTGAATCTACAAAGTCTCTCCTTTCGTCGTAATATCTCTGACCTAATTTTTTGTTTTCAAGTGCTTAGAGGAGAAACCAGACTAAAACCAAGTAAATACTGGATTTTTATGCCAGCTAGTCAGAGAATAGGAGGCTTCAACCTTCATCATGTCAAGATTATGAGATACAATAAAGACAAAATGCATAATAATCTGTTTTGTAGGATTGCACGTTGGTTTCAGCTCTTACCCAAGGATTTAATTGCTTCGCGCTGTGCACGTTCTTTGAAGGCTAAGTTGATCAAATTGACCGAAGGTAAAAAATCACATCTACCCTTTCAAAGCGTATTATTTCAGTTTTTCAACTTATTTGGTCAACTCTCTCATCAGTCCTTCTTGTATTGTGTTATGGAGTTCTGCTACCTTGGCTACACTGATGCCAGCTTTATTACGAACAAATGACACAGGATGCACTATACGAACTTACTTACTTCCATTTACATGTCAAATTGATTCTACCAGACGTTTTTTTCTACTTTTACCGTAATTATGGCAGAAATTTGACTACTTTGATCACTTACACAATGTCACATCATTCTACATTCGACTGCCGGAGAAGTACTTGGGGTGAGGTCAGTGAATTAGTCTAGGCACGCATGGTTTCGCCCATTCGCCTTACTCTCACCCTTTTATATTAAGCTCGGTTCAGAGCAATAGGAA